AAAAAAAAGGGAAAGAGATCTGAATAGATATTTCTCCAAAGAAGATATACAAATGGCCAATAAGCACATGAAAAGATGCTCAATATCATTAGTCATTAGAAAAATGCAAATCAAAATCACTACGAGATACCACTTCACACCTAAGATGGCTAAAATAAAAAGATAGATAATCATAAGTGTTGTCAGGAATGTGGAGAAATTAGAACTCTCATAAATTATTGGTAGAAATAAAAAATTATCTAGCCTCTTTGGAAAACAGTTTGGCAGTTCATCAAAAAGTTAAACATAGAGTTACTATATAAACCAGCAATTCCACTCCTAGGTATATACCCAGAAGAAATGAAAACATACATCCACACAAAAACTTGTACGCAAATGTTCAGAACAGCATTATTCATAATAGCCAAAAAGCAGGACCAACCCAAATGTCAGTGATGAATGCACAATGTGGTACTCTCTACACACTGGAATATTACTGGGCAATGAAATAGAATGAAGTATTGACATGTGTTACAACATGAAAAAACCTTGAAAACATTATGCTAAGTGGAAGAAACCAGAGACAAAAGGCCATGTATTGTATGATTCCATTCATATGAAATGTCCAGAAAAGGCAAATCCAGAAACAGCAGTACATCAGCTGTTTCCAGGCACTGAGAGAAGGGGAGTGAGGGTGTCCTGTTAGGGTGGTAAGAGTCCTGGAGCTAGGCAGTGGATGTGGCTGTCCAACTGTGAATATACTCATTGCTACTGAACCGACACTTCGGAAGGGTAAATTTTATGGTATGTGAGTTGTGTCTCAATACAGTTGTTATTAAAAACCAAACAGAGTGAGACAGTTCTCTGCGTTCTGATGCGGAACTATCACCATGACAATCTGTGAAGTTGGAAATGCAAGGTGCCAATGGGGTGAACGGCTCACTACCATTTGTGTCTGTGTTAAAAACAGCATTTGCATCCAAGTGTGGTTTTTCCCAGAGCTCCTCTGTATGCTCATCTCCTGGGGAAGAGGCTGGGGACGCACACTCCGAACACTGAGTGGCATGTACTCTCCATCAACTCTGAACCATGTATCACGAAGTGCACAGGTCTTACAAGAATTTGTGAGATGCCCTTAGGGACACGCACCCATGTTCACACCCCTGGGCTCAAGGGCCTCTTCTGCAAAGCCAGACTTATAACCGGACAGTAGGGGCCCCCCAGAGCAGCGGAGAGGCTATATCTCCCAGGCATTTTAACACACCATTTCATCACATTAAATAACGCAGTCACCACCCAGACCCACATCCGCTCTCCTGTCCTAGTGCACAAAGTAAGAAGAGAAGCTGATGACCAGAGAGGACTGTAGCACACCTGGCCCAGACTCTAATTCAGTGCATAGTTAAACTGGTTTGCGAACTTCTCATGCTTCTTCTGGTCCATCTGGTTCATGGCTGTGACCACCCTCCGCACAGCCGCCCTGTGGGGAAAGCAAAGCAAGACGCTATCAGAGAGGCTCCAGCCAGGGCTCTGGGTTGACTGTGCTTTGCTGGGATTGGGCACTGGTCCTGGGGCAGCTGCTGCACCTGGACCACTTGCAGACATCCTGAGAGAGCCACCTTCAGAGAGACAGGCACAGAAGGCAAAGCTCAGAAAGAGCCAGAAGTTCCAGTCCTAGAGCTGGGCCCTATGTGGGTGGTTCCGCCCTAGGTGAGGGTGGCCTCAGCCCTGCTCCGGCACTTCTTCCATGGCCTCCCCCAGCTCTGAAGGTAGCTGCGGTGACCCCCAATCTTGCCAGCACTGGGATACACCCCAGAACATGGGCAGAGCCTGCCCACCAATCTCATGGACAGCAACCACACAAGTGAATATGATCAGGAAGCACCTAATTCAGCCCTGGCTAGCTGGGATGCCCTGCTCCAGGGAAGGGGGCTGGGTGGTCACCCAGAGAAAAACAGCAGGTAGTCCTGGGGCCAGGCCCTGCGGGATCTTGGAGCTCAGTTGGCTCTTCTCAAAAGCCCCCAAAGTGGGGTCCCTGGGAGCTGGGGTGCCTGGGCCAACCGCTCTTACTTGGCAAAGACTTTTTTCCCGATGCGTGCCCGGGCAGTGTTGGCCTGCGCCTTCAGGTCGGTGAGGTTGGGGTACTTCCTCTTCTTCCCCTTGCCTTTTCTGCAGTACCTGGATGAGCCCAGATCCACCCCAGTGGCTGCTTCCACATCTTTCATGAACTCAGGGTCCTGCCAGTCTGTAACAGAACTTGAGGATTTCAGGAGACACATGGCACTGACCAGAACACCTCTCATCCAAGGCCCCCTAGGAGGGGACCTCGTCCCCGGCACTAGTGGCCTGAGGGCACGGTCTGTGCCGGTCAACTCAGGGTTCCTGGAACAGTAGAGTGGGGAGGGAGGGAATACAGGCCACCCCTGGGGGAAGGCAAGGCAGAGCTCATTCCTACTACCCTGCCCCTCACAGGCCCTTGCACCCTCCACAGGCCAGGGAGGAGCCAGGGCTGGGCCCGAGGCCACTCCGGGTACAGTGAAAGATCCCTCAGGCAGGAAGGTGGCCAAGGCTAGTGGTTGGGAGGTCAGTGCCATCCACAAATGCCTTCCCTGCCTGTAGGCTGGATCATGCCCCACTAGGCCGATCGTGGCCCTGCCAGACAAGGCTGCTGGCTGTCTGGCGTGTGCAGCAGGGGCTGGCCAGGGCCGAGGGGAAGGCTGGGCCAAGCATGATGGCCAGCAAAGGGCTTTCTTTGTGTTGATTTAAAGCCAGCCTGGCCGTAGGCGTCAGAAATGCAGGGTGGAAGTTCACCTAGACAGAGCTGCCCTTTCTAAGCAAGCCAGGTATTACTTACCATGGCCGTGAGGGGAAACAAATGTCACCTGGCCCTGCCAGTCCCAGGCCACGCCACGGCAAGGTCGGCGTGCTGACTCCCAGGGCTGAGAGCATTCACTGTGCAAAGGGGTCCTGGGAAGCTACCCCCATCTCAGTCTCTGCGGGTTTCCCTCCACGAAACTGCTGCAGGGATCTGTCAAGCAAGGTCCTGGTCCAGGTGCTTTGAAAGGCCACCCAGGTAGGAACATAATGGCCAAGAAACCAACGAATGGCCCCAGCTTCCAGAGGGAGCTGAACATGCCACGCTCTAAAACATCCAAACGTGCACCAGGACCCCATGAACCAGGAGCAGAGGGGCCGGGCCAGGGAGGCATGTTTATGAGGGGAAGCAGCCGCACACCCCAGACAGACGGATGGTGAGGCCTCCCCAAGCCGATTTTTTGAAGTGAAGGAATACTGGGCTGCACAATTCAGATACAGGAACGATTAATCCAAGATTAAGGAAAACTGTCTAAACAGTTTATCTCCCAGTAATAAGAAGGCGTCACAGTTTAGGAACCCAGTGAATGGAGCAATTGTTTAAACACAACGAAAAAATGCCGGCTTCCAGTAGAGATGGAATGAGCACCTCAGTAAAATGAAGGAGCAATTTAAAAGCCTTTGAAGAAAATCAATAGATGCTGGGGCCTCCTGGCCTTCCTGGGCGCTGACGGGCCCTGGAGCGCTGCGTGCATTGTCACCGAGGTTAGCACCAGGGAAAAGAAAATTGCCCCGTGTGCGAGGGAGGCGGGATCAATAGTGTAGTTAGTAAAGAGATGCTATTTCACATCTGACTGGCCAGCGTGGCCCGTAGCCACAGCCTGATACCTGTTTGTTAACAAGTCACCAAGGGCTGGAAAACCAGATACTCTTCAGGGTTGACAGAAAAAATAGGCACTTCATTTGCTCCTGAGCATGAGCCACCAGGGAAGGCCTCGCCCGAAGATTAACAGGTCAGGACCCCCTACACACACACCCACACCATCCAGGGCTCCCGGGCCCAGGTGCCGTCTCTGGGGATCCATCTGAAACTCAGCATCTGCCTCTCATGACCACAGCGCAAAAAGCCTGTGAACGACAAGATGGCTCGGGTGGGACCTGCGAGCACGCCAGCAGTGCTCCCACAGGCGTGGCACGACTTCCACCTTCGCCGAGATCTGGGCCTGCAGACTGGCCCTCTCTTCAGAAGGGAGGGAGCCCGAGCCTGGCCAGGGCCTCCAGTAACAATCCCTCCCTGAAAACAGACATGAACCCCAGCCTGGAGGGGGCAGGCTGGGTAGGCTTCGCCAAAGTGACAGAGACCTCTGCGGACGGGGCAGCCAGCACAGGGTACCCCAAACTCCCACCACCAGCCATAGCAGATGCCCCAAGCAAGTGGCCACACGCATCCTGCGATGGGACAAAACAGTTGCCCAGCTGCAAGAACTCCGCAGAAGGGGTGGAACAAGGGGAGAGTGAGGCAGCAGCATTAGGAGGAGCAGTGACTTGGGGGTCCTGTCATTTACCTTTCTTGGCCTTCATTCCTTCATCTGCTTAAAAAACACAAGAATCTAAAATTTAACCACACAAACAATAACCTGGTGGTTTCTGGGCCATGGGCAGCCTGTGTCCCTGTTGGGCGCCTGTGAAATTGTGGATCTGCTTGAAGCCTGAACACCCTGTGGAGCCCCACAACCCAAGATCCCCCAGGGCAATGTTCCCTCCCCCGACCTTGTTTTACTATCATGCAGCTCCCCAGGCCAAGCTGGTGGTGTGGGTGCTCCCTGACGACACACCCTGGGGGCAGCGGGTCCCAGGGCTGTACCCTCAATGGCACCCACCCAGACCTACCCGGGTGCTTCTGCATCTGCTGCTGTCGCCTCTGCTCCAGCGCCCTGTCTTCTGGGTCAAGGGGCCTTCCCTCTTCGTCTCTTGGGATAATCTTTCCATGGAAAGGGCACTGCACAGCAAAGATAGGGCAGCTGATAGCGGAAGGGGGTGCCAGCTGCCCTGATCACTGCCCACGGCGCATTGGGCACAAACAGCCGTTGGGGAGGGGTGGTATCGCAAAGGCAAGGTGCGCTACCCTTTAATCACATACTCAAAAGCTGGCGGGGGGTCTTGGGAGCCACAGGGAAGGGAGAGGCAGCTCCATCCTCCCTCTGGATCCGGGAACTTGGGCAGCAACAGGGAGCTTGGGCCTCACTCCTGCTGGTTTGGTGGGAGAGACTTCCCTTCATACCATTCCCAACTGCCGGCCTGCCAGCTGCTGCCCCGCCCCTCTGGCCTCTCCCTACAGCCTCTCACCCCGTGAACCCAAGAGACAGGGGGTCCACATGCTGCCTCACTTCTGGAGTCTAGAACAGCACAGAGAAGGCTAGATGCACCCTAAAGGGACGCTGGGTGTCTTGGCCCCTGGAGAGCATCCCAAGTCATGGGCCTGGAACAGCAGACCCCAGATACAATTTCTGATGCACAGCGGCCAAGCAATTTCTGCCAACCATGGACAAGCCCTTCTATGGGAGCTTCTCTGTGCTTACAAGTGTCCCCAGCCCAGGGCCAGGGCAGGTGGGAGCTCAGCACTCTCCTCTGCCTGCCCTGTCCTGGCCCTGCCTAACCCTAACCCTAGGCTTATGGTCGTAAGTGCCTGCAGTCAAGGCCGCACCTTCAGCCGATCTTGGCGCTCACAGAGCCGGCCGTCAGGCCTCGGGGCTCGGCACCGGTGCTGCACAGGCTCAAACCTCCCCGCGAAGGTGATATGGCGGCTCCGGAGCATCTCAGAGATGGCAGCGCTCTCCACTTCCTCCTCCACCTCACTGGGCTTCCAAAAGCGGTGCTGAGAGTCGGATCTGCAAAGAGAAACAGAAACTCTCAAAGGTGTGTGAAGGGACGCAGGAACAATGTGGCTAGTTGGGGTCTAGGGATGAGAACAGCCAAACCCCCTGCACCCCAGTCACTCCTTGATCCTGGGGACCCCCTGAGCTGATCTCTAATGCTTCCCTGGGCTGGAGGAGATGGCCGCTCCAGCCTGGGTTTGAATCCTGAGGCCGCATCAATCAGTTGTAAGACTGTGGCTCGACCAACAACCCAGGCTTGGGTTCTCCCTGCACAGTGGGGACACTGGCCGCTGCACCCTCAAGGCGTGACTGAGGGTTAACAGGGCAATCCACATAAAAGTCATCATTACTGCTGTGGGGTGTGAATACAGGTAGTGTCTGCACCCCAAGGAAGGAGTATGTGGAAGCCACCACCCAGCCTGTGGCAGCAGTGCAGAGAGACAAGGACAATGGGTTTTGCTCCTATCTCCTAAATTTCTGGTAACATGTTCTGTTGCTGTCACCAGCCCTTGTTAATGACACTTTTCTGTTGATGCCAGAGAAGGGGCAGGGCCAGGTACACCAGCGCTAGAGGACTGGGGCTCTGCTCCCCTTGATGCTTGGGTCGGGGAAAGAGCCCCCGCTGCAGCTGGCACTGATGCTGCAGTTGGCACTGACACTCCAGCTGGCCCCAGCCAGGATCTTGCGAGTAGGGCCTCTGTTCTGCAGTACACAGCAATGGGTGGGGGATGGCAGGTATGAGGGTGGTCAGAGGGGTGGGTGCCAAAGGCTCCCAGGGAAGCACAAATGGTCAGCTCTGCACACTGAGGCTCAGGGGCTCCCACACCCCTGCCCCACGGGTCCAGGAGGAACAGAGCCCTGGCACCCCCTGCCCAGACCCCCGGCCTACAGACAGAGACACAGGGGCCAAGGCCCGACCCACCACTGGGGAGAAGTGGCCGAGAGAAGGCCTAGCCCCTGGGGCCATTCCAAGTGTCTGATATGTCCCCACCATGGTCTGGGCTGGGGCCAGGGGTCCCACACCAGACCCACTACAGGGAGAGTTGGCTTAGGCAGAGCCTTGGCAGCAGTCTGAAGAAAGCCCGGACACGTACCCCACAGCCTAGGGTGAGGATGGTGCCTGGCTGCCTGGCCAGATGCCTCCGGCTGGACCAGGATAAGTTACAAGTCAGACATCGGTGGGAAAGCCCAGAAGTCAGCACCCGATGGCCCACACCACTGGGCCTCCCCGACAAGAGGGGCTGGGCTGCGTGCCCCATTTGATATGCACCCAGACACGGGGATGCCTTCCTTGGTACCCCTCTCCTTTCCTCTGGCCAAGGCAAAGGCCGGCTCAGGCCCTCCAGGTCGCCAAGCACCTGCCTTGAGGTGGCTTTTCCAAAGAGGCTGTGGTGGAGAGAGCTGGTCTCAGAACCGGGGACCCCAGCCCTACTGGCCCTGCCCAAACCACGAAGCGTGGTCAGGTCCTGGCGTCCCAGCCTTGTCTTCTTGACCTGCTGGATAAAAAGGGCGAGGCCATGCTCCCTGAGGTTCTTGAATGCTGGCCGTGAGCTGGCAGCATAATCCTGTCCACTCAGTGAGGGGGCCAGCCAGAAGGAGGGTAGCCCAAACATGTACCATGTTCACAACTGGCTGCCAGACTCACGCAAGTACCCAGGAACTAACACTGAGCAGCCAGCCCTACAGCGCCACCCCCTGGGCTCTGACACAGGGCCCTTTGCTGCTACATCTGCTCCCATGTGCGTGCTGCCACTCAAACCATGGCTGGCCCCTGCGACAGATCTGTGAGCAGTCAAGTTCAGAGATCTGCTCTCTGTTCTATGGGGAAGCATGAAACCACAAAGTGTAGAGTCAGGCGGGTAGCGGTGACATCATAGGGGTCTGGCAACAACTCAAGGAACTTATGAAGGACATGAAGCCAGGTCCTCATCTCAAGCTGCTCAGGCCTCTCTCCCAAACGGCCCTGGGGATCCCAGGACAAGACGTGTAGCACTGAGGTGCCAGGCAGGCAGGATGGGCAGGTGCCCACCTCCAGGTGTGGACTTCTGGGTGGGAGGAGCCACAGCCACACTTGCCCATCGTCCCCTCACAGGCTGTGGTCACTGGCTGGGTTCTGAAACTGAGCGCTGGCCTTGGGGTATCCCTGGCAGCAACATGTGGCGGTTTTTTCCCTGGCCTATGCAAGTGACTGCTGAGTGGCCTACCCCACCCTCCCTCTAGCCCCGGCCCATCCTGCCCATACCAAGGGCAGCATCTGCACGGCCTGAAGGACGCTGGCCTGAGCTGATGAGCCCTCACGTCCTGGTGCCATTGTGAACGAGGCTGGGATCTGCACCTCTGACTCGTTGCCCTGCCCTCACGTATGAGCCTGCCAGAAACCTGAATAGAGAGAGCTGTGGACAAATCAACCAGGACACCTGGGCACATGTGATCCATCCCTGGGTGTCCAGGAACAGAACAGTAGACACACCAGGCACCCAGCACTCCTCAGCCAAGGGTGCTACATGTTGCTGTGCCAAGACCCTAGCACAGGGAACCTCCTGCCTTGTGCCCTCATCCTGGCCCCTCTGGAGGCCCTGTTGCCTGTCTGCCCACAGGTGGCCCATGAGCTCCCCCATTACAGTGGTGTTCCCAGCCCTGCAGACCCCCCAAACGTCAGCCTCTGTGTTTACAGTGTCTGCAGCACAGTCGGGCTGAGCAGAGGGTGCTGGGGAGGCAGCAGCAGCACCTCCTGTGTCCAAGTCAGCCTCCGTAGCCTCACAGGTCCTGCCCCCACCCTGCCAGCTACACACAGCCTGGCCCTGGGCATTGTCAGCCACCCCAGACAGGCCTGGGGTGGGCTCACCTGGGGAGTGAGGGATAGGGCTCACCTGGGGCTGGAGGCAGGAACAGGCTCTCCTGGCAGTACCTTCCATCCCAGGACAGAACCTTGGCACTATCTTCCCCACCCTCCTTGGCTGTGTGAGCAATGTCCAGGCCCAGCTTCCACTGACAGGCCACAAAAGAAAGGTGGCCTCCCGAGGCCCTGGGGTCTGCATTTAGGAGTGGACAATCCCCTGTGCACCCCCCTCCTCACAGCTTCACAGAAAAAGAAGAAGCCAGTGTGGTGGAGGCAGCAAAAGAGGAAGGAGGGGCAGGGAGGGCAGCTTCCCAGACGTTCCCTCAGAGCTGCAGGCCTGGCCCGCTGTGACAACTGGGGGGTGCGGTCCCAGGAGCAACCCAGGCTCTCAGCAAACGAGCTCTGAATGGGTCTCAGGGCCACCTTCATCAGGGTGCTCTTTCTTCTGGCTGTTCCGTCACACTCTGTTAACACCTAACCCTCATGGACAGCTCCCGAAGGAGCAGCAGGAAGGCTCAGAAAATGCCCTGACACCTGCTGGGCCAGGGCAGTAGTCCCAAGAAAGCCCAGGCCCATTCAACAGGCGCGACCCATCCTTACGCCCCTCTCGGCACCGAAAGGTGGGCAGAGCTGCCTCAGACCCAGGGAGGCCCCGCAAGCCTGCCTCTCCCTCCTCAGGCCGGGCCCTGGTTGTGCACCCTTGCCAACCAGACACGCCCAGACTCACCTGAGAATCTTCCTGGCCGCCGGCTGCTCCTGGCCCCAGTAGCATAGGTCTACTCCATAGGGCACGACAGGCGCCCGGGCCCGCTCTGCTGCTAGTTTCTGGGCCTCCTCCAGCCCCAGCAGTGCCCTGGAGGGGCTATAAGAGCAAAGCAGGACATGTTGACCACAGGCACCTGCCTCTCCCTCCCCACACCCCAAGAGCTCTGGGTCAGCACAGGGTGCAGCCAGGAGCTCTGGGTCAGCACAAATGACCTATGACCTCTGTCCACACTGGGCCTGGGCTTCAAGGCCACTGTCAAGGTCTTGTGAGAAGCCCCAAGCCCTGGCCAATTGCTGGCATCTGGTCTGCAGTCCTTCACCGTGCCCCAGGTGACCTGTGTTGGCTCTCGAGTTCCAGAGCAGCTGCCCAGCCTCAGAGTCCCTCTCAGAGGGTCGAGCAGGGCCTGGGAGGGTATTTGTCGGCTCAGTCCTACCTGGGCTCTGGCCAACATGCCAGAGCTGAGGCTGCCCTGCACACCTTCCAGTCCCTGCCTGTGTTGCGAATGTTGGCAGGTGCCGCGGTGCAGACCCAGCTTCTTTCAGGGGAGCCAAGAACGTCATGAGCACCCGGGGGTGGCTGTGCTCTGGGCAGGGGTTGGGGTGGGAGCAGCCATGCTCCGGGCAGAGGCTGTGCTGCTCCAGCCACAGGACCCAGCAATGGGGTATCGGGAGTCACCTGGTAGACAAGGGTGGCGGCAGGAGCAAGTGGTCCCTGAACCGCTGTAGTTGGGCAGCTGCAGAGGTGGGGTCTGATGCGTCCTCATCCCTTCTCGTCCTTGTCCTTGTCCTTTCCTGTAAGCCCTGTGCAGCCACGTTCTTCTCTGGGGTCTGCCGCAGGGCCTCTGACTCCAGCCCTGAGACAGACATGTGTCTGCTTGAATCACGTCCCCACAACCCCAGGGCACATGTGTAGAGGCACTGTGCACCATCCCACATGACTGGGCAGGCAGGATGTGCCCACGGCACTGGTGGGTTTAATCCTCCCACAGCCCCCTGGGATGGGTCTGCTACCTCCTCCTCGCAGACAAGCAGGCTGCCTGCCATGCTTGGCGAGACATGGTGGAGGCTGCCAGGGACCCTGGTGGTCCCAGCATGGAGCACAGTTGACAGGCTGTGCTGCCCAGATTCACTGACATACCAGCTTAACCAGACAGACAGCTGGACTGGCTCAGGAGAGCCTGGCGGCAGCAGGAGCCCGCAACCCCGCCAGCGGCCACCCACAGCGCGGCCGCGGCTGCGCTGCAGCAGTGAAAGGAGAGGACCAAAGAGAATGGGGCAGCCTGCGGCCGTTCTCCAAGCCCTAGGCCCGTGGCAGAGAAGATGGGGCCTTTCGTGTCCAGAACCTGGGCACACACGGTCTGGTGGGGCAGGCATGTGACAGAGGCCACCGACAGGGTGCACACTGCATCCCCCTAAGAACACAAAGGTCACCCCTTGGCTGAACCGGAGCAAGGAAGAGGAGAGACAGTGTTCCTGACAGGATTCCAAACCACACTCCTGCACTGAGGTAAAAACGCCAGTTTCAAGCTGGGGTTCAAAGCAGCGCACTTCCCGCCAGTCCACAGAGATGCCTTTGCTCCACGGCTTTAGCTGCCTTCTCTCATAGCCCAGGGAGAGGGAAGTGGCCAGAACTGGGGTCCTGGCAACACCCCCTCTGCTAATGCCACCACGGAATGCTCACCCTGCCACCAGCTCGATGGGCCAAGGCACTGTATATCACCACGTCCCCAGGCATACAGCAGGGACGAGCCACCAGGTCCCTGACCTCTGCACTCTAGCGTCTATCTCCACACCCCTAGGGCAGGGCAAGGATAGATCTTCCAACACTACCAATCCCTGATCTGCCTCCGTCCATGCTAAGGCAAGGACTTGGGTCTGGCTCTCAGGCTGCCCCTCTGCGGGGCCCTCCCTAAACCCTGCCAGCACCTCTCAGCGGAGGCATGGGCCTGGATTCCCCAGCTGCTGTCCAAGGTGGGGTCCCGGGGCAGGGTATGGATTAGGACACTCAGTACTACCTGCCTCCCCAAACTCACTGCCGGAGCAACCTGGGCCTGGACTGCAGCCCTTCCTCCTAGTGTGCCTGCCAGCCAGCCAGGGCTGGCTCGGGACACAGAGGAGTGTGAACTGGCAGGGAAGCTGAGAGCACACAGCCTTGAAAGAAAGCAAACAGACGGAGCGACGCGTCCAGACAAGGCAGCGTCCACAGATGAGACAGACAAGATGGAAAGGACATGGTCTATGTTCTTTAGAGCTAAGGGAGCACACTGGAAACTGAGCAGTAACAAGTCAAAAGGAGGAAGGGACATTGAGGACGTCTTGCACTGACAATGAAGGGCAAGAAAAATAAGCAGGTGAAATAATTACTCGCTAGATGGCTGACAGGACCAGCAGCAGCACCTGCTGGAGGAAAAATAATTGGAGTCTAGGAAAGAGTTGAAGAAATAATGAGTCAAGTTTTCCTGGAATTAGAGACCTCACTGAGTGCCAGAGGAGACAGAGGAAAAACCAGGGTTAGAAATGTCATAGGAAAATTTAAGAACATTATAGAGAAAGAGAAAAATCTGAAAAGCTTCCAAAGAGAAAAAGCTGATACTTTCGAAGAAATAAAAATCCTTTTGTTCATAAAGGGCAGAAACTTAAAATAAATAAATAAATAAATGAAAATCCTATCAACACCAGTATTTTTAACAGCAACAGTGAACGCAAGATCTTGGAAGATCATTTTAAAAGTGTTGGAGAAAAAGACATTCAGGCTCAGAACTGTACACCCAGTGAAACCGTGTTTCAGAGTGCAGGTGAAGGACAATGGCCTATATGTACAGGACCTCAAAGGGTCACCACAGGAAGATCTGCTTGGAAACTCCTCCAGAGGAAGAAATCCATCAAGAAGAAAAATAAGTTTAGGAGGGTGGGCAAGATATGGGAAGTACAACTGAACAAATGACTTTGTGAAGTTTACTGCTGTCCGACAACCTGAGTGCACGCTACAATCTGAATTAAGCTGGCGTCTGGATGTTCCCCGGTGACTGGGGGAGGAGGCCACAGCAGGGAGAGGCTGCGAGGCTACCTGTATTACGTAGCAGACAACACCGAAACTGAGAAACTATAAAATAAACGGTATGTGGCAAATGTATGTATGAGTCTCTTAAAAACTAAGGATAATCAGAAGAATGAAAAGATGAATATCTTTAAAACCAGCAGAAAAGGTAGGCTAGCAAATAAAAGGTGAGGAAAAGAAGAAAATGACAACAGTAGCAAATCAAAAAGAAAGTGTGGTAAACAGAAGCATGCAATAAACTGGCTTGTATATGTCTGAAAATATAATAACTATTAAATGAATCAAAATCAATGTAAAAACAGACTAAATATATTTAGTGACACCTTGTCTATGACATCCACTTAAATAAAATGGCTAATGAAAAGCTGAAAATAAAGGAATGAAAAAATATTTACTATGCAAACAAGAAACAAAAGACAGCTGACATAATATGTTTATATTAGAAAACTGGATTTCAAGTCAAAAAAGGAAGACAGAAGGAATATGTGAAGGTATAATAAACATGAATGGATATGCTTATAAAACTCACAAATGTGACTTCAAAACACATAAAGCGACTGCTGAGAGGCCACAAAAGAACAGGGAACCACAACTGTGCTTGGGGCTTCAGGACATCCTCTCGGAAAGCGGCCATTAAATGAGCCAAATTGTGGACGGTGTGTACATCATCAAAAAGACCAGACTAAGAGATACTGCGGGACTTCATACCCAAAAAGTCCTTTCCCAACACACATAAAACTGACAAGAGACAACCAAGTATTAAATAATGAAAGGACCTCAGTCACTTCTGAAGACTCATCACCGACCGTGTACTCAGACCACAGAGCAGTCAGGAGTTCAGAGCAAAGGGCAGCCAGAGATCCCAGATGTCTAGAGATTCAGGTACGTGTGATATATTACACGTACACACGCACATGCTTGCGTAGGTATACTTACACAGACGCGCTTACTGACAGGTGTAGACTGGGGCTGTGGGCCTGTTTTGTAAATAAAGTTTTACTGGCACACTGCCATGCTCACGTGTTTGCATCCTGGCCGTGTCTGCTTTCACACCACAACGGCAGGCTGAAGCACTGCGATAAGGCCTCATGTAGCTCACAAACCTGAAAACATGTGCTCTCTGGCTTTTTATAGAATATGCTTGCCAACCCTGCCCAGGAGTGCCGCTAAGCCCTGTGCGCTGCTGTACCCTTGTGGGGGCTACTCCTATTTCTCACGTTCCCATGGGCTGAGGAGGACACGAGACCGAGCCACTTAGAGAGGGGGATGAGGTCAGACCCTCCATCCCTCAAAGTCACCGTGTACATTTGGAGGCCCCAAAGCTCGATGGCAGTGCACATTCGGAGGATGCTGGGCAGCCCCTACTCAGCTCTGTCATCTGATGCAGACAAAAACTTCCAAATGCCCCCGCTCAGTGGGGCATGTGTTTGGCAATGCATCATCACTAACTGACACCGACACAACGCAGTCAGCACACGTGTGCGAGCGCACACACGAGAGGAGGCAAGGCTGATACGTGAACACTGACATTCAGATACAATCACAGCCAAAAGATCAATATGAGAATTCCTTAGAGTTACAAGAATGAAATATATTTTTCATTGATTTGTTGTTTTAAACCATTAAAAAGATGGGTAAGCGTGTTAAAGCAGGGTAAATACTCAGGGCACTAAAAAAACACTACCATTTTCACATTGTTGTAGAAAATCAATCTCACTGACATACTTTCAAAGTAAAAACCCAAAAAGCAGACAGCATTCCTTGGGCACCGAGAGCATGCATTTGCAGGAAGAATAATGACTCCTGAAAAAACAAGAGGCTATAGGTACCTGGGAAAGCCCCGCCTGCAGCCCCCGCCCACCCTGCTAGGTGTCTAACTTGAGTACAGTACCTTGGCTCAAATTCACTCCCACAGTTGCTTTTAGAAGGAATCATAAAAATGTCCAAATCCCCTTTTTTGTTTAAATTGACCAAGTGGCACCTATTTGCCTCAGGCACTAAAGCAGACAGTGCGGAGAGATAAATCGATAGCAGGAAATGGAGAGGCTGGGGCTTCAGCGCAAAGTTGGGCTGCGGAGCGCTGACATTATTGATTTTACCTAGTTCAGCTGGCCTTGTAATTAAAATGTAAATTTGAGAAAGAGATTATGTCCTGACAGAAATGGTAGGATTAAGGGGAAGATAAAAGCCCCTCAGTGAAAATTCAGAAAAAGAAATGAGAAAGAGAAAGAGCACTGGTTTCCTCAGCTGTGTGGATTTAGACTAAATCTAACTACTTCAGATTCACCTACATTTAATTGAAAGAACACCGACAGAATATAAACTAGTGTTATGAACTGCACTCCCCTCCGCCAGCGGCCTGGTCCCACCGCCCCCAGCTCTCTCTGAGTGATGCAGAGACCAAGTGGGGAGCACGAGGCTCCACCCCAAGAGGTGGTCCTGCATCCTCCACCCTGTACCGCAGAGGTGGTCCTACCCTGCTCCTCCCTGTGAAGTGGTCCCATTCTCCCTACCCCGGCCAGAAGTGATCCCGTCCCCCTCCTCCCTGTGAGGTGATCCTCCCCAGATGATCCCATCCCTCCTCCCTGTGAGGTAGTCCTGTCCCACCTCTCCCCATGAAGTGGTCCCACCCTCGCAATAGTTCCAGGTAGTTTATTACTTGGGACCTCACCCTGGAACCCCTCTTGCCTCCATGCTCTGCATAGCGGTCTACGCCCTGCACCCCTCCTCTGGGCCCTGCAGCCGTCGGCCCAGGGTGCACAGACGACCGCTGAACTCACCACAGAGGGGCCAGTGCCACACCCTGCCCCCAACCCTGTTTACCATCCACTGGTTTTCAACTTGAGACCCATGCCAGCCATTGTCACCTTCAAGGCTAAATACAGAATATCATGAGCCTTTCAAATTAAAGGGGTGAATTAGTGGCAATACAACTCCTGGGGTCTCTGCCCACCCAGCAAACCCACGATGGAACTCCTTCCCCTGTGGCCCAGGTGTGGGTGGGGCCCTGGGGCTCTGGCCCCGTACCCATGGCCATCAGGGGAAAGTGGATGTCACAATGTAGGCTGACAAGAGTTGGGAGAACAGGATGGCGCTGCAGATCATCCGTTGCTGCGTAACAAACCATCCCAAAGCTCAGTGGTGGAACCAACAGCCACTGTGTCGGGCTCACAGATCTTCCACAATCGGGATGTCCCAGCAGGGACAGTTCCTCTCTGCTCTGCTGTGCCCGGGGCCCAAGATGGAAAGACAAATGTCCCCAGTTGACATGTGGAGGTGTCTTCACCATGACTGGGGCCAGGCCGGGAAGACCCACAAGGGGGCTGGGCTGGGAAGGCCAACCCTAGCTTGCTTTTCACTTCTGTTCCTGGTCCAGATGGTTTAGAGCCATGAGTAAAGTTTTAAGTAAAGAGTAGACTTCTGCCATGCTTGAAACATCAAACATCATCCAATTTGTCCAATGACACTTACAATTTCTGCTGAAAGGACCCAGCAGCACTAAAGCTGGCATGTACAGAGGCCCAAGGTCAGAAAACATCAGCAAAATGATAAGCCAAGGGGTCAGTGCCAGCTCCAGACTCCTAGAGGGAGGAGACCGGAGCCTGACAGTTGCATATCCTGACCACAACTGGGTGCCCACCCTGGAGCTCAGGGAAGACGACAGAGTAATTCGGCAGGGCTGGAGGGGATCTGGGTAGACAAGACTGCCCAGGCGCTGAGCAGGGGCACAGACAGATGCCCCCTCCCCGCCCCTGTCCCCAGCCAGGGCAGCCTCCGACCTGGGCGCATGTCAGCCGGCACCTCCCTGAAGCTGGGCCATGGCCTGGTCCAGCTGAGGGCGGCAGGGAGCTGTGTAGGGGCAAAGACCACCCTGGCACGGGGAGTGTGGTCACAGCACCCGACAGTATGCCTTAGGTACTGCTGGGGGCTTTGTGGCAGGTGCAGGGACTTGCCCGTGGCCACCTGGGTGAGGCTCTGGCTATGGGGCACTCCTACCCTAGGCAAGTAGACGGTTTCAGGGGGAGATGGCATTTGGGAAAGAAGGGACTTCGTGGGTCACTGGGAGGCCCAATTAGGGGGAGAGGTGTGGCCAGAAGGCTGGAGGAGAGCGGACAGTGGCCACTCCGCTTGTCTCTGCTGAGCCCTTGAAGAAAGGCGGCAGATCTGAGTCAGCACCATACTCAGGGCCAGACTGGTCAGACCCAGGCGGCTCCCGGGTGTCTGGTTTCCCCCCAGACTCTCAAGCACACGCTGACCCCAGCAGCTCAGCCTGCCCAGCCCTGGCCTGCAGGCGAGTAAACAGGATCACATGATGGAAGGCCGCTCAGTGTTAGGGGGTCTGCTTGTGTTAATTTGGCATGACACCCTTAACGGGTCATATCTTCACACGGGAGCTGTCCAATCATCTAAATTCTTTAATAAATTTATGTTTTACCTTACAGACTCCGACTCAAACCAACTTCTCTATCCCACCACAAAAGCCAGTGGTCCAGCTTTCACTGCTGTCTCTGGATGCAGAGGCAGCCTGTGTGTGCCAAGAGCAGCCCTGACTTGGCACACACCCTTCCTCCTGCAGGGCCACAGCCCTGGGGTGCAGAAAGCGGCTTTTAGAGGTTGTTTTTGGAAAAGAGGGAAATTCTAGATAGCAAAGGCTATAGCAGCTGTGCTTTGCACTCCCGTGTGGTGAGACGTTGCTCCCTGCCATGGAGCCAACACACATCCTGGGCCCAGTGCTGAGTCCATGGCTTTGTCAATGGTAAGAAGGGACGCACCTTACTGGTGACAGCCCAAGTAATGGCAGGGGGGTGGGGGGCCCCAGAAATGCTCCACAGCAGCAGGATCGCACAGCCTCACCACCCTCTCGTGCCGAAGGCGCCAACTCGAGCCAGCCATCTGCTGCAGGAGGCGCCCTTTCTCATGCTTGCACGCGCCTGTGAAGGAGACCTTCCTGCCCCAAGCAGGGCTGCCCAGGGGATGGGGGTACCTGGAAGCTACAGGGAGGGAGGCAGAACTGCTGCTCACACTGGGCTGTGTTGGGGCCTCTGTGGATCCACATATAGGAATCAACGGTGGAGCATCTGAGGGGCCCCTCAGCAGAGGGCCCAGCAGGATGACTGTGGGACAGGAGCACCTTAGGGCAGGCCACAGGGAGGGACCCAGGCACAAAAGGAAGATCACACAATTTTAAATGAAAGCACCAATGACAGACACAGCATAACCCAGCAGGAAGGCCTGGGGGTCCCACTGAGGCCCCATTCCCTGCCCCTTGGAGGGTGCCCAGACCCCAGGGCATGTGGCCATGGGCCCGAGGGCAGCATTCTGAGCAGGGGCCTCTTCCCCAGCCTCCCCCACTGCAAGTCTGGCAGCCCACAGCCCACTGTACTCACCCAGCAGGTGCTCAGGGACACAGGCTTCGAATCCCTCCTTCTCTGGGACCTCCACAAAGTCGTCCTCCTCATCCTCCTCCCGGTCCTCTGGGGCGTCTGTCTGTGGAAACACCCCCGAAACACTAATAAACTCCCAGCCCCTGCCTATGAGAACTGCTGTCAGCAGGCAAAGCCCAGGATATCCCTATTTCTTGTGGTGCTTTTTCTCCAGGGTGGATTTCATTTAAGATTGTCTCCAAGACTGTCTTTGTTCCCAAAATCACGCCACCTCTACACTGCCCCATATTGGGGGCTGTTTAAATCTACATTAAAACAACGAACTACATCAACTCCCCAGTTCCCTCTGGAACGTGCTGTCCTCTCTATTCCCATGTGAAATAAACATTGCTGCAAAGCTGCACAGAACAGAGCGCCCGAGGAGACAGCAGACGTAGCTGCCAGTGGCTGCGGTAACAGTCGTCCATAGCACGTCACAGACATGAGAATGGACAGGCATTGCTGGAGTATTCAGTCCTTGAAGACTTGTTAAAACCCACAGCAGTTTCCCTCTGACAAGGCCTCCTCTCCCTGCTGTGGCCGTGTTGAGGGGTTGCTTGGGCTGAGTCCCAGGGGGAGCCCAAGTGCCATGCCTGCCTCCCTCCCTGAGGAGGGAGGACCTGGAGAACTGCACAGGAAGCCCTGCTTGGTTTTCTCCCCAGGAAGACCCAGTTCCTCAAGCCCACCCTGCCCCGTTTCCTGAGTGGCTGCCTCAATTCATCAGGCTGAGGGGCGACTCTTCCCTGGAGCAGGAGGCTGAGGCATGCACTGGAGTGCTGCACATTGGTGACCCATGGCCACGGCCACCCAAGTAAACGTGCTAGCACCACACACGGCAGTGGATCGCCTGCACCACAGACCTTGTTGCAGAAACGGCCCATGGGTGGCTCTTTCCTGCCTCACCTTCCCACGGCCACCCTTGCGTCCCAGGACAGGGTACGGGGGATGTGAGCAACCCCACCAGGGTCCTGCCCTTCCTGGGAGGGCCTGGCTAGAGCACCTAAAACAAAGGGAACCTGGCAGGGTGGCCCCCAGGGTCCTGAGGACTGCACCATCACAGCCATGCCAGGAAGCCAAAGGAACGTCCAGAAAGGGGTCCCTGTCAGATGAATACCAGCCAATGAGACCCTTAGAGGGCTATAAGATGAAAACTTTGAAAAACTCAACCATTCTGACATGTGTCTTTACTTTTTTAATTCATTCCCAACAGCAACACGTCAAAGGCACACTCAAGCCTGGCCTTGTTTCCTGAAGGGAGGACCGATGGCAGCGGCAGGGGCTAATCCCCCAGGCAGGGGCCCAAGTAGGTTCCAGATGGTTATGGATGGCACCCCGGCGCAGCTGCCAGTCACCAGGCAGAGCTGGGCCAATCTCAGCCACCAGAGTGGGGGACGTCGGCAGCCACATCTGGCCACACCTGCTGGGCCCCAATGTCCTGCAGAAAAGGTGCCACCAGCACAGGAACAATCAGATGCAAGTGCACTGTTTAGGTGCAGCCACAGCCATGCCTCTGGGAAGCACAGAAGACATTAATCACTGGAAACTGTAATTTTTGTTATCAGTCTAACACTGATCAAAAGGGAAGCCTGTCTCCACCGCTGACCTGTGAAACGTCCCAATTATACTCTTTGGAAATGACAGGGGCACTTAACTCCCGCGCAGAGCAAATGACGACCATCCATCACGTTTGAATAACAATGAGCCACGGACCTGAAAATTATTTTTGTATAGAATCTGCCCAGGAATTTATGAAAGGTGGAGAGCAGCCCAAGGTTTTAGGGCATTACGGTTCTCAGCTAGTGCAGTGCGTATCAAACACTAAACAGAATTTATGTGTTTTAATTTTCTAAAGGTAGATGTGGACCGGGTGCTACAATGCATAACATACAGCGCCAGACTTTAAATATGGGGGTCATTTTCAAAAAATATTATGCTTATTGCCCACACCCTTGAATTTCAACGGGGACTTTTATTGAATTTTCATTTCCTAAAAAATATTTAACTGCTTAGCTAACTATTAGAAATTATATCTTCTTTCTCCCCAACTAAAATCGTTTACTTCTGTGATTAAATTTGGAGTCCGGTTCCTCTTTGTTCTTACCTTTGTGCTGACAGGCTGTCCTGGCTGGTGCCACCTCCGTAAACACTGAGCCAGGTCCTGCAGATGGACCTTTGACTCCAGACAGACCCCCGGGCTCTCTCTGGGGCAAGCGTGACCACGGCCGCCCATTTCCACAGTTCAGTTTAAACTACTTAGAGGCCGAGGGAATCCACTCAAACCATTGCAACATACAATTTAGGGACTTCACTGCTAATACAAAATTTAAGCTTAAAATCTTCCATTTAGATTTTAATTTACACAGGATAAACTTGCATGTCACCTAGGATGTCTGACACCAGGCGTGCTGCACATTAGGAACAGGCAGTGATGTTTCTGGTGCCAAGAAGGGGGGAAGCTGTGTGACCTGTCAGGGCCTCACGCCCGAGGCCTGCTCAAAGGAAAGAGACACCACAGTCACAGGGACAGTCCTCTCCAAGGCCTCAGAAATGCAGTGAGGCCCAAAGGGAAATTGAAAGCCTGCATGGAAAAGAGTCCCTTCTAAGCACTTCCACGGGTCTCCAATTCACCTCTAGGAAATCAAATAACCAAGTGGCGCCAGGCACAGGCCCTGCCCTCAAGGTTACAAATGAGGTTAGGCAGGGCTCAGGGCCAGTATCGGGCACTCCCAGTGCCCTCCACCAACGGGCCGAGCACAGGGCAGCTGGACACAGTCGAGGACCCTGGAAAGGAGACCACACCCATAGCAGGAATCAGGGATGGGGACTTCTTCCAAACGAGGTCAAACACTGTAAAATGTTCTCAGAAGCGGTTTGGTTTTAACCCACCTAGGAGCTGAGTTTTGCAACTGTGATGAAACAGCATAAAACAGAAGATACCTGAAAAACCTGACTAGCAGAGACAGGACATGGCGAAGGCTGCGCGCTCCCAAGGGACCTGTAAATCGGGGTGGGCTGAGCACCTGTGCTCACACCTTCCCTAACAGGTGCAGGCCTGGGTGGGACCCTGAGAGCCAATGGGAAGCCTCCTTGCCAGGTGGTCCCTGGTGTGGGGGCTGCAGACCCCACTCCACACACTGCCTGCCACAGCCTCTGAAAAGGCCGCCCCAGCTGCCGCCACAGGAAGGCATGGACAGCACTTGGGGCCTTTGCTGGTTTTATACAAAGTGATTCTCACGCACACTTAAAAGGATTTAGAAAAATGAGCCTCCAGGATCATAATTAAACAAGCAATAAAACGGCTAAAATATACAACGCAATCAGTTTACAGAAGTACGGTAGTGAGGTTACTAATTATTGAGAAGGAAGGGGAAGTGCAGCCCCAAGAGAAGGGGGCTGCCCGCCAAGCGCATGGCCTGGAGATACAGCTGGGACCATTAAATAAATTTTGTACCATCTAATTAACTTGGTAACGCGATCTCAATTACTTTTCACCCAAGAAATCACTTTTGTTCAGTTTTATGTGTGTCTGTTTCCCTTTCTAAAAAAAAAATGATGTAAGGCCTCGTCAGACAAGTGAGTTCCAAACTGCATTTGTCTTTCAGCGGCTTGATGGCTATGCATTTAAAAACCCATTCTATCTTATAAACTAAAAATTAAACGTGCTCAGCTGTGATGGTCGTCATTGCATCTGCTATTTATATGCTAATGCCCTCCCTGGAAGGCCGTGCAAATTGCCCAGCCAGGCCAATATCTCATGTGCATCTCTGGCTGCAGGGACACACCTTCAGAGGACAGAGGGTGGCCGTGGGCCGGGCTGGCCACAGGGAGCACCTGGACGCAAGGGCAGTGCCACACAGCACGCTCTCAGCTCCTAGGCGAGTGTGTGGAAGCTATGCTGAAGCAAATCATCACTTTCGAGAATGAATGTCTCTTTATAAAATCCATACTCACTAAAAAGATCTGATAATAATATCACAAAACATACAGAATGGCAAGCTTTTTCCCTTTCTCATCTGATCCACGTCAGTAACAGAACTGAGGCTGTGCACAAACCTATTCTTGGAAGCTGCTGGCTTGCACAGTGGGCCTTGGGGCTGCTTTCAAGAGCCCATGCCTGACCTGCAGCCCCACAAGGCCTGGGGACCCCGTGGCAGTGTCCAGATTGCTGGGAGGCATGAGAGGAGTCTCTGAGTCCACAGGACACCTGGAGGTCAATCACCAGAGCCAGGCTAGGGCCTAAATCTCTGCTGGTCCGGATGCGGAGCCAGCCAGAAAGGGATGGGGGACCCGAATCCGTTAACCGAACGAGGGTCGTGCTGCCCTGGATGGACAGACTTGGGCTGGGATGGCCTATTCTACTGCGGTGGCCAAGCTGGGGCTTGCCCCCAGATTCACAGAAGATGTGTTCTGATTAGAAGCTGCCAAACCAGTTCCTGTACAACAGAGCAGCCCAGAAACCCAGACCAGGGTGCTGGGGTCACATGAACATTACATAAACTAGCATCACAGTCAGTGGAGAGTGAAATCAAATCTTAAAGCAACTGGCATCTCCAGATCTAACAACTCTCACCCCCATGAGCTCTGCAGAGAACGCTAACTTTGGGCAAGGAAAAGGAAAGCCCTGTTCATACCTGCTCCAGGGCACCATGATTAATGAGCACACTCTCCTCCCAGATGTGGAAAAAGGCCACATGTCTAAGCCTGACCTTGGGTGAGAGTGTGTGGCCAGTGCTCAAGGAGGCCAAAACACCAGCTTCTGGGGAGCAGGGTCACATGCCAAGGATGTAGGTGGCACATTCATCAGGTGGGCCTTCCCGCTGGGTCCTAGGCCTCAACAAGGAGGCCAGTGCTCACAAAACTTGGTTTTCTCATCTGTAAAATGGGGGTAATAATCTACCTAATAGAGCTCTCTTCGGAATTAAAGAGAGAACATGTGGGGAGGTGCTCAGAAGAGAGCTGGGCTTGTTTGGGAAGCAGTATCTATTTTGCAGACAGACACATGGTGGGGGCAGTCTGTGCTGTAGGGCTTGGGAGGGAGAGGGTTGGAGCCGTGGCCCCGGGCTA